AATCAATTGTCCTCACACGGTGACACCAACTGTACCGTTTTTAAATAAAACGAGCGGTTCGAATTTATATAAATATATTTATTTATAACTATACAGTTCGGAATTCTCTTATCAACTAAACTTATTCCTAAGATCGTTACATATATATACTAAAGTTACTATTTTCTAGAAAGTTCCCACCTCTAGGCGAACGCGACAGATCTTTCTCGAAATATCGAGTCGCTTTCGAGATGTCGCCGCGCCGCATGGAAGCATGAGGTGCTGTTTCGAGATGCAACCGTTATACGTGCCTCGTTAAATGCACGTTCGTAACAATATGCATCTTTCACTAGAATACCTGATATCAAAAACAAGCTGACTGCTTAATTCACAATAAAAAACCAAACTTTAGAAACATTTTTTCTCGATTTCGGTATTTCAACCTTTACCTGGTTTTCGCAGTATACCGACGATATACATATTATATAGTCCTATGTCGTATTCATCAGCTTTTTCTTGAATTGTGCTTAGTACGAATATACCTTATATTGTCCGTAGTGGCTTTATTTGGTCTGAATCCATTCTGAATCCGAAGTATTTAAAAAAACTATTATAGATAGTAGCAGAAACATTTTTGTATACCTACTACATTTAGCAATGTAATTGGCCTATACTTCTAGCATTCCCCCTGCATTTGCTCCGTGGTTCATATTAATATTATTAGATAATGAATTATTCCAAAGAGATCAGATCCTTCAGGTTTTAATAATTGTACCAAAATTTAGTTTCTTTACTATTTCATAAGAATAAGTAACAATTGAAGTTTAAAATAAGTTTATTGACGTTTCAATTTCCACTTCGAAAATCGTTCTCAATAAAAAATAGCATCAGAGCAATATTAGTTCCTTTATTATGTGAACAACTTCTTCATAACTCAGATTTTCAATGTGCTGATCCACCGTATAATATATTGTCTCGATTTGTTGATTTTCATTGTCTGCGTTTAGGTTTTGTTCTCTTTTCTTTTAGTGTTTGTTCAATCTTCTTATAATTGTTTGCTTCTGTATTAGTAGTTCTCCATCCTTGTCTTTTCATATCGTCAATTTTCTACTATGACTTTGTTTTCTTTTATTCTTTTATAGAATTTTCTGCTTTCGTGCCTTTTGTACTGCTCTAGGATTTCTTGTTACTTATCCCGGCATTGACAAAATTTTCAATTTCTAATGTAACTGAGCTGCCACCGTGCTACGGAGGGCACGTAAAGCCGTCGGTCCCAGCTACGAAAGTAGTCGTTAAGTCATGTTAGGGGCGCTTGCGCGACCTGACAATCCTAACACTATAGTCGGACAGTTTTCAATTAAAGGTGACTAATCTACAAATTGAACTAAACAGGGGTCATTTTTATTGTGTATACTTCGCCCATGTAAATAAGCGAAAAAGTAATATATTCCTCATAACATTTTCCCCCGTAACAATATAAATTGGTGGGATTCACGAGTGTGTGGTGGGACAAGTTTATTGAATAGTTTAAGACATCCGCAAACTTATCAATATTTTGCTAGTCTATATATATTTACGTTCTTAGAAAGAATGGTAATGAGTAAAATATGATATCTTAGTTTATGTTTATTCGTTCCAAATTCTTGTGCAGAGGCGTAGTGTGTTCTATTTCTTGGGAAATATATTTATTAAATAGACTTTATTAATAACTTTAAAATAGTTTTGAGATAAGTAAAGTAAATTTGCGGCAAGTTTATTCTTTTTATAGTATTAACCCTTTAACGTCCGGTCCGTATACAAAGAGAAATTTGACAATTAATTTATTATATTGGATTAAAAACACATAAATTAAGACGAATTTACAACCAAAAAGATTTTTTTCTCATTTTCAAAAAAAAACTACGATTTTTAATAAAGATATATTGCATCTTAAATGTAAATTAAATTGTAAGGTGAAAATGTTCGAAACATTCAGGGTGTAGATGCATGCATTCTACACCTTTTACATAAATAAATAGTAGTACACCTTTTACATAAATGCACATCCTACATTCTTGCACTGTCGTCTCTTTTTGTAATGTGGTCAATATTGTCAAATCTGGTTTCTGACACTGATGTAGCGATTCTTCACTATTAAATTATAAATATAATCTATGTTGGCTCATGCTTTCTCTTATAATGTGCACTTCTTTATCCTCATCCTTTATTCATTTCAAAATCGTGACGGTTATTCTGCTATGCATAAATATTTGTAAAATATAGAATGCTCTCAATTACGTTTTTATCAAAAAAGAGTGAAAAAACTTCAATATATGACTTGCTCCCATGGTTGGCTTTTATATTGTCTAAATATCAATCAGACTGATGTTGAATTACTACTGAGCACAAAGCAGCACGAAGAAGTATCTGTTGTTACAACTCAAGACAAATTTGGATTTACTATTATTGACTGATTTTTTCTTTGGACGTTTTATCTGTGGTTCAGAGAAATATCATAATCAGAATCGTCAGAATTCCCAATCACTTGTATTTCATATGTACCTGCAATATCCGATTTTATTGATTCTTCACAAATAATATTATCATCAATGTCTTTTATATAAGAAACTTTCTAATCTAATCTCGGCGGCAAATAAAACACTTTAAGTGAGTCAGCATTTTCACAATCTGAGTCTTCTTATAACAAAACTATTAACTCTTTAGTAGTTAGTGCCATCTTTATTTCATATTTCGAGAATTTACTGAAATATATACGCATTCACATGATAATTTTTCGACTGTTCTAACAACCATTCAAATTTCGTCATTTTGTGTCATGTGGAACAATTTCACCCAATCATGTCAACATTAGACTGATAATTGCATTCAGTGCAATTTTCAATCCCTATGGACAACACGATCGAGTTTGACAACTTCATCCAAATAAATTTCAAAATGTCACGTTTATAAATACCACAACAAAATTATAAATATTATGCGTGGTAATAGATCTTCTATAGTAGAGAACAGCAACGAATCTAATGTTAACTTAAATTTTAATAATTGTACTTTCACTAACTGTACTTTTAATAAATAAATGTTTCGTTATGTTGAGTTATGATTTTTTTTTTCGAAATATTATCCGCCGAATATCCCTCGGACATTGATGAATGCCTAATAATTTCATGACAAATTACTCAAGCTCGTTGCTTGGTAACAGCACTAAGCCTTCAACTTCGTGCTGTTAACAAGGAACGAGCTTTCGATTGTCATGAAATTATCTCGTCTGTTATCAATGTCCTAGGGATATTACTACTGATAATAGTTTAGCTTAATTCATTTTAATTTATATGAACAATATATTTTTATATTTATATATACAAATAAACACAAGGAAACTTTCAAATTAAGTTAAAAAAAAAAACAAATACAAAGTTTACAGCATACAGCAATTCTATAAATAGAGAATGATGTGTAATGACGATATCGTATGTTAAAATTTCAGATTGTTTAGTCCAATGAAAAAATAAGTATTTTCCAATGTTTTCTGTTTTTTGAAGTTCTGTATTAGGTACTCTCTAATAAGAATAAAATTTTACGTTAATTTATTAGACAACTATAAGATACCTGTCAAAATATACATGATAATTTAATAATTATATCGGTCTTAAATTTAATTTTTATGTAATTACTTATGTATTTAAATAAATAGTTAAATCAATTCAAGTTAAAACAAAACAAATATAACGTTCATAGTAGACAGCAATTCTATAAATAGAGAATGAAGTGCAACGGCAAGATCGTATGTTAAAATTTCAGATTGTTTAGTCTAATGAAAAAATAAGTATTTTGCAAAGATTTCTGTTTTTTGAAGTACTGTTATTAGGTACTCTATAAAAACAATAAAACTTTATTTTGTTAAACAACTATTCGCTCCGTGCGTGACTGACCTATTGCCTTCATCTGAGATTTTTGGACCTCCCAATTTGAGGTTAAACATATGTTAAATATATACGAAATTGACAATTATTAATAATTAGTTTTTTAATTATATTTTTTCAGTTTATGTACAAAATAAATGTAGTATTTAAAATTGGTTTCTAAAAATTCATCATAATTTATCTTTGTAATCCCAAACGGGAAAAAAGGGAAAAATCTAGTACTGGCAAATCAAGATTTTCATGTGGAAGAGCATGTAGTTAAAAACAATAGTAGTAAAAGTTATGATATAAAAGCTAAAGTCATCAGGCAGGCTGCAGTTAGCTTGAAACCTTATGAAAGATCATTTAAGGTAAATTATTTAAATTTTTCCTATTTTAATTGCATAAAAATTAAATTATGTGATATTTACTTTTTCATATTAATAGCACGAATCCATCTTTTTCTTTTTTCGAATTTATATGTAATCTTTGAAAACCTAAAAACTACACTCACTATTTTTGCTATTATTTGCACAATTAATTACGCAACATGTATTTGCACCTATTTTTGATAAAATTTATGCGTAAAAGATAGGTCCAATTTTGTCATATTTCGCCGCTACGCACGCTGGCATTGTTTCAAGGTACCCCTACCATGGATACGCACGGAGCGAATAAGATACCTGTTAAAAGACACATGATAATTGAATAACTATATCGGTCTTAGATTTAATTAATTACTTATTTGTTAATAATAAATAATTAAAAAATTTTTGGTACGCCTCTGCAAAATTGATAAGTGGAATATGATTTCGTTGAAAAGTTATCGTTAAGGGCTTCGTTAAGTGCGATGTTGCCAAGTAATCACCTTCAATTAAAAGTTGTTTTAGTATAGACCTTAGCCAGAGAAGGTTACACGAACTTTACTTTTTTTTTGTTACTTTTGTTTTGTTACTTTTTGTTTTTTCAAAGCCTTTCTTTTTTTCTTACCATACAATACCATACTTACCATACCATACAATATTTAATACCAATTTCCTTGCCAATATAGAGAAAGCAAATAACTTACTAGCAATTGAAATAAATATATCTAAATGAATAATCGAACTTTAATACACTTACCTGATTTTCTTTCAACAAATTCATGATCAAAAAATATTTTGGACTCATTCTTTGGATAGTAGATATATGCAACAACAGGCTTGTCATGTGTTACAAATCCACGTAAATTAAATGCAACTCCAATACCATCTTTAGTAACATTATAATCTTTGCTAAAACAAAAGACGTACATTAGCAGATATATTTATATTTACTGTAAAATATAACTTCTTTGAAGTAATTATTATTTAAATGGGAATAAGCCACAATTAAAGGTTAAAGTAAGTTTATTGACGTTTCAATTTCCACTTTGAAAATCGTTCTCAAAATACAAACATAAGTGATGTATTTGGATGTATCACTAATGTTTGTATTTTGAGAATGATTTCCAAAGTGAAAATTGAAACGTCAATAAAGTTACTTTAACCTTGAATTGTGGCTTATTCCCATTTAAATGATATTTACTTTAAAATGCCATAAGAAAATAGCTACAGAACAATAACTTCTTTGAAATATATAAAATAATTAAACGTATTTATTCCAGTAACATCAAGGCCTGAAGAACCCCACTGAGGAACAAAAGAACAGAGTAAATTTATTATGAGGTTTGTTAATAAATTGTGGAAACCTTTAAAAACATCCTTCTGATATTTTCTTCGCGGTTCTGGTTCTGTTTAATTCTGTTGGAAATAACTTTTATATTTGATGTTTCGATTTCCATCTCCAAAAAGCGATCTCAAAATATAAATTAAACAAATTAAAGTGCGCGTATTTTGAATAATAGTGCTGCAGCTGGGTACCTTTCTGTATGCATGGAAGGGTGGATAGTTGAAAACTATTCCTTATGTAAAATTTTTCGCTGAATACGAATATGTACGAGGGTAGATTAATATAAAACCAGCCTTTGATAGAAAAAACAAGTTTTTTGGAATTTAATCGATTTATTTCTCAACACAGTCCCCTTTTAGCTCGATACACTTAGTAAGACGATGTTCCAATTTTTTTATCCCATCCGAATAGTACTTTTGCTCGAGCTCTTCAAAATAGGCCGAAGTTTCAGCGACAACTTTATCATTTGTTGCGAAACGGCGTCCTCCGAGCCATTTTTTAGGTTTGGAAACAGGAAAAAATCGCTGGCGGCAAGATATAGGGAATACGGTGGGTGTTCAACCAATTCATAGCCCAATTCGTGTAATTTTGCCATGGCGACGTCCAATCGGTGAGTCGGCGCATTGTCTTGGTGAAACAGCACTTTTTTGCGTTCCAAACCGGGGCATTTTCGACGCAATTCGGCATCGAATCGATCCAATAATGCTGCGTAGTACTCACCATTGATTGTTTTTCCTTTTTCCAAGTAGTCGATGTAGATGATGCCCTTCGCATCCGAGAAAACAGTCGCCATCACTTTGCCGATCGAATGTGCACTCTTTGCCTTCTTCGGCGGCCTTCGCCGCGTTTGAGCCACTGTTTCGACTGTTTCCGGTGTGTAATAATGCACCCAGGTTTCATCAACGGTGATAAATCGGCGAAAAAATCCTTCTAATCGCAATCGCGCCGTATTATCGCCAAAAGCGTCTCAGAAGTGGTCACACGTTTTTGCATTTGATCAATTGTCAGCAAACGCGGCACCCATCGCGCGGATAGCTTTTTCATGTCCAAATGATAATGAATGATGTGTACTTGTTCGTAGGAAATGTTTAGGACCTCTATTAACACGCAGAGTTTAATTCGACGATCTGCCATAGTCACGTCATGGACTTTGTTGATCATTTCCGGCGTGGTAACTTCATTTGGCCTGCCGGGACGCTCATCATCAAAAACACTTGTACAACCACGAACAAATTCAGTTTCCAAAATTTTACAGCTGCTAGCGAAGGTGCAACCTCACCAAGAACTTCGTCCAGATCGGCTTTGATTTGCACATTCGTTTTACCCTTTTTGTGGAGGAACATAATAACCGAACGATACTAAACTTTTTCCATTTCTCAGAAAACACAAAATTTGCTTGCTTTTCACGGCTGTAAAAACCAAACTAATTAATTACTATTTAACTAGGAATATATTAACAATTTCCACTTCGGAAATCGTTCTCAAAATACAAACTAAATACAGAACGATTTCCGAAGTGGAAATTGAAAAGTCAATAAACGTATTTTTACCTATTTTATAGTCACTAATACTAAGAACTATAGCAGAGAAAGATCCAGAGGAAATATTAAAATGAGTATTATTAGCAGAGAAAGATCCAGAGGAAATATTAAAATGAGTATTATTAGCACGAGATCCCGTGTAGAAGGCATGAGTTTGTGCAGTTAATATTTTCAACTACTTTTCCCCGTCCAAATGTTGATCGAGAACCCCACATACTGTTATGTGCATTGAAGTCTCCTGTGAGTATAAACGGCAGTGTAAGTTGGAATATAAGGTCTAGGAGCTGTTCTTCTTTTAGAGAATGGTTTGGGGAATATATATGAAGCAGATGGTAAGTTTATTAGGGAAATATGTAGTAATGGCAATTGCCTTAAGATTCGTTATTAAAGGTGGCATTTTTGAGAAGATTTTGCTGGACGCAAATATTGATGCACCTCCACTAGCTCTGAAGCAGTTCGTCCTAGTGAAGTGGTATCCTTCAAAGGATTTAGGATGAGGATTAGTTGTATTAAAATTAGTCTCTTGGAGACATAAAAAAATCTGGATGGTGAACTGATATAAGATATTAAATGTGATTAAGGCGCGGATAGTATCCGTCGCAGTTCCATTGTAAAGTAGTGAATTTAAAAACTAATATAGTTAGTAGAAATAATATACCTAGTACTAATTACGTATTTTTAGAAAAGATCGATATCATTGCAGTTAGAGTCACATGAATTATTGGACGTAAGGCTAACTAATTCACATTAAACTGACAAGTTTTTATTAAAAATGCTATTTAGTATAAACAGTATTTTTTTTGTTATTTGTTGTTGTTTTATAGAAGTCAGGTGTTAACTTGTTGGCTTCTGAAATAGGAATGAAAAAAAAGTTTATTTTGAGTGTTTCTGCTTTTTTAAAAAGTGTTTTCTGAAAGAACATTCATAATTAGCGTAATGTCAACACGTACTAGCCCGCGCTTGTTGATTCTGTAAGGAAATGCTATTTGTTTATTGCTTGTGAACTCAATGGAAAAGAAAGTTTCTTCCATTTTTTTTACAGACAAATTCAGTGTTCTCTAGAACCTGTGCTATATTTTTAATAATACAAATGTTTTCCAAAAAGTAGATTTTCTGACTGCTTTTGTCGAATAGCAGAATATTGAGAATTTGACATTTTTGTTGTTTGAAATACATAATCTAAGATTTCGTTCTCCATAGTTATTACTGATTGTATTTATTACACTATTTAACTGATTTTTCATTGGTAGTTCCAAAATGTATAAGCGATATATCTAAATTACTTTAATTAATTGGGCAATTCTACATTAATTCCTAATTGCAGAATATGTGAACATTATTACTGTTTACAGATGTTCTGACAGAAGTAGGGCTACTCGTAGAATATTGCATGTTTGATCAGAGTTTATCGATTTAAATGAAAATGAAACAATTTCCTAAACCAAAATCTAAAAAACCAATAAATCGTTTACAAAAAAAAAATTCTTGGTTAACAGAGTCGTAAGAATTAAGAATTTAGGACAAGGATTCAATGCGAGCGTTTGGAATTCTTTCTATTAGTTTAGCATAGCAGAGCCTTTGGAAACCCAGCTTGATGTTCTTAAGCATTACGGAAGGAACATGTTTCTGGAAAAGATTCCGTACTATGTTTAGCTTGAATTTTTCTGCATTTTTTTCTGAACTTTTCTACAGAGGTAGTTGAATTTTCTGTTATGTGCACAAGTAAAAAGCTGCGTACACACTTGAGCATTTGCCCCGAATAAGCATTCGTTCACCCTGTTTCACTCAAATGCGTACGTGCGAGCAGAACATGTTTAGTTAAATTTTAGAATATACTAAGAGTCACAGAATGTGACCTATCAAAACACCGTGATCTGATCTATTTTGATGTCTATAAAATGGAGAAAATGCCCCAAAACCCCTAAAAAACATCTAACCAAATTTAAAAAACAGTTTTTCGAATTTTTGAAGATTGCACATCATACGGAAAATCTGAAAAAAATCAGAGATATAAGTAGTTGTTGATCAAATACACGAAATTAAAAAAATTTGAACTGCAGCCACCTCAAAAAAAAGTTATAGGCTTGATTGGAAAAAAATGCATTTTAGGTTACATACACTCAACCTATCAATCTATAAAAATAAATAAGTTTTGTAAAAGCCTCATATACGCGTGTGAATTTTTTGAAATTAAAAAAAAATTAAAACGCAAAAATGTGGTTTTTTGGGGGGGGGGGGGAAGTGGGGGGCTAAAATTACGCTGAGCTTAATTTTTTAACCACATAAATCGTAGAAAAAGAAAAAAACTTATTTTTGAGGGCATTTTGCCTATCTTAACGGGAGGTAGCCTTTGGTCAGCACATTTCATGCAGTATGCTGTTATGTGTTCAATACACATCCAAGACTAATAGAATTTTCAAAAATATCTGGTTTTTCTGGGCTCGCAATAACCTCTTTTGTTTGGAGCAGGTATTTGGTCTTCTTCTCAAAAATTCCAGCATATTTTGTAGCTGTTTACATGTTCGTGTCTAACCTTACTCCAGGAATGTCATGTCCCCTGGAGCTGTGATTTACTTTTTTGTGCATGTGTTTGTATGTGTGCAACTAAACGCTATATGTATGTTGTATCACACTATACTAAATTTCGGAGAACTACAACGAAATTTTCTTTCAAACCTATACAGATGCTTGTTTTTTTTTTTCAAAATTTGCAGAGGAATTATATTTTTATGAGTAAAAAAGATATAGGGTTATCAAGAAAAAAATTACAAGTTTTTGGGACTATAATGGCAGGCCCACCTGTCTACTGGAGGGTTAAGCAAAAAACAAAATAGGACTTGGTATATCCCAAAAGATTGTTTCAAACACATATGACTCTTTTCTGTGGCTAAATTACTAATTTACAAGAAAATTCACCAAACACACATAAATGATTCTTTAACACTACAAACAAGATGATTACATAAGCAAATGTAATGAAAACAAATTTTTAATAACAATATTTTAGTCCAACTACTAAACACAATCTATTCCACAGGAACCATTCCACGTGAAATGCTGACATCAACATTTATTTGTCTACCAAAGAAAGTAAATGTCAAAGAATGTAGTGATTATCGAATGATCAGTCTAATGTCACATACCTTAAAAACTCTGGCTAAAAATCATCCATAATAGAATACACGCTAAGCTGGAGATGGATATTAGTGATTTCCACTTTGGATTTCGGAATGGAATGGGCACAAGAGAGGCACTATTTTCTTTTAACATGCTGATCCAAAGATGTTTGGATGTTAATCGAGATCTTTATGTATGCTTTATAGACTACAACAAGGCATTCGATAAAGTAAAACATGACCGACTTATAGAAGTACTCAAAAACAAGAATCTGGATGTGAGGGATGTAACATTGATATCAAATTTATACTACAGCCAACGATCAAATGTGAAAATTGGAAGAGAAGTGTCAGAAGAAGTGGAGATAGGGAGAGAAGTCAGGCAAGGTCGCATACTGTCGCCGTTATTGTAAATGAGAGTCAGCATAAAAGTGAACGGAAGTTTAATTAACAACATTAGGTATGGCAACGATACAATCATAATAGCCGACAACTTTGAAGACTGAGAAAGAATAATGAACAAAATATTAAGATATAGTGGAGAATACGGACATCAAAAAAACCAAATTCATGAAAATTAGAAAGAACAGTACAAATGAAATATTAACGGTAGGCGGCCAGCAGATTGAGAGAGTAAAAAGATATACTTACTTGGGAACGATAATCACAGAAAATAACGATTATACTGCAGAGATAAGAGTCAGAATTGAAAAGGAATGTGCCAACTTTGTGAAAATGAAAAAGATTTTATGCAGCAAAGATCTGACATTGGCCCTCAGAATAAGGCTAATTAAATGATATGTACACAGTGTACTCTACTATGGAGCTGAATCATGGATATTAAACCAGAATACAATAAATCGACTTATGTGTTTGAAATGTGGACATTTAGAAGATTGCTAAGGATTCCATGGGTAGATAGAGTCACAAATGCAGAAGTGTTAAGGAGAATAGGCAGAGAGAAGAAAATGAAAAATACAATAAAAGAAAGGAAATTGCAATATCTCGCACATATAATGAGAGGCGAAAGATTCAACATCTTGAGACTCATAATTCAAGGAAAAAGAGAGGGTTCTGTCAAAGGACAGAATAGCCATGATGATTGCCCACCTCTGTCGCAGAGATGACACTTAAAGAAGAAGAAATAACAATATTGATTAAAGAAAGTACTTAAAAGCATTTACCTACTTATTCTTTACTGTTTAACCCTTAGTTGACAGATGGTACTTTAACATATTACCTATTTAAAAATATGTCTAAAATCATATATCATATCATATGATATGTCATAAAATCAACTGAAAACCTCGTGCAAAAATTATGACAATATTAGTTCATAACTTGACTGCGGCATTGTGATTTGTTATCTGTAACATATGTGCCATGAAATCATCATCAAATTTAAGTATAACTGGTTTTAATTATACTAAACATTTTTGTACAATTAAATGCTGGTTTTTGACAAAAATGATACCTTTCGTTACAAACTTAAAAGTACTGTCACCCATTTGGAAGTAACTTACTATTGGCCATAAATTTGTTTTGTTATTATCACTTCATCTATCGTCTGATATTCTAACCCCTTTCTTCCTTTAGATAGAAAAAAGGACAGACTGGTCTAGCAAGAGACCTCTCTATGTGATGTGGAATTATTAAATATTGTTGAAAATTTCTTATTTCAATATGTACCAGATGATCTAAGACTCTGATAATGATGATGGGTGTCTTTCCAATCAATATGGATATAATTATGGTGTTGAAAGTGGATGTATCTTTACAAATAAATTGATAAAAATTATGTAATATCTTACTACCAACACTAAATTATTCAGCCTGATGCTACTTTAAAGTACTGCATCTGCTTTTTTGTGTTGAAGGTTTTGAAAAATTTTGAACTGGAATGTATTTTTCCAAGAGATTTCAGTAAAAAAATTTAAATTTTTGTATTATTTTTATGATCTGGCAACTAAGGGTTAAAAGATAAGGAAATACCCGTACTAGGGTGACAACTGCCACACATTGCATAAGTACAATAAAAGTATTAAAAATCCTAGAAAAAGTAAACTCAGAAACAAAAATAAATTTTAGTAACTTAAAACTCTTTACATAAGTAATACCTATGTAGGTTTATCTAGCTTTTTATTATGAGATAAAAGCACTTATCACATAATCAATAACAAATCCTTTTTTATCAGCATTTTTGATTATGTAATTAAAATATTTTATATCATATTATTGAGAATGTAAGTTTTTTTTGTTTATCTGGGACTTACCTACTTGCTATGTTGTTTAGGACTGTATAACTTAAAAATTCATATAAATTTCAAAATATTGCTTTTAATTCTTTTACTTAATATATTTTAAGATTGCTGCCATTGTCTACTTATACATATTATTATGGACCTTTATTGACTTTAGATTTGTTTTCTTAGCTTGAGTCAGGAAAAATGTTGAAGATAAATAAATGGAATACAGCAAAAAGAAAACCACCAAAAATTGATTTCACTTTACTTTTCATTTAAAAGACCACCCAGCTATGTTATAAGTACAGACATTAATATTCTACAAAGACAACAATAAGACCACCCAGCTATGTTATTAATATTCTACAAGACAATAAGAATGATAAAGTGGTTCACAAAACTAAATCTCTGAAAATCTTATCTGCTCATAACTAAACATACAAAAACCCATTTTGATTATATTTTTAAGTGACGAAGTAAGTTCTTGTGGATACATTCATGAGTTAAGATCAAGGAAAAAGAAACAGTGCATTAAGTAATTCAAAACTTAAAAAATAGTAAAAGTAAAGTAAATAGTAAAATTAAGTCAAACTGCCTACAATGGCACTGTTTCAATATAGTTTTTAATGGCAATGCAAAAATAAGAATAAAATACATTTTCAAATTAAATAAATGCAATTTCTACTTACTTCGGTAGATTTCTCATGGAAATATCACATAAACTGTCATAGCTATTAATATTTAAAGCACTTTGTGTAAATGCAACAAAACAACACAGTAATACTAACAACTTCATCTTATTTTGTTTTAAGAGAGCAGTTCTATCTTCAACGGTAATATCTAATGCAATGATAGGTAAATAAATTGGTACTTCATAAATTATATTTATATTAACCGCTTAACCGGTAATCACTGTCGAATCGAATCACTTATACCTATATTACAAATCAAACATATATAAATCAGTCATCACTTCCAAGAAAAAAGAAACATTTAACCTTTCTAGGTTATGAGTACAGATTGATCACGTTAAAAAACTGTTACACCGGCCGAGCGGATACTGACTCTGGATACTGGATGATGGATGCTGTTGTAAAAGGAAAGGGTTTTTGAATCAAAACACGTGTTCTGTAATTCCCCCTTTGCTTAAATACACTATAGTTTCAAAGGGACATGTGCGGTGTTGCCAGTTTTACGATTTTAATAACATTTAGGCTGTTTTTGCATTAATATTGCCAATGTTTTGAAAGTTAATGACCGGCTCATAATATTTGCTTTTCAAAAAAACTAACAGACCTTTTACTTTTCATATTTTTCTTGAAAACTCTGTACGTACTTCGCTTTAGCACCCTTAGTACTTAAAATTCTCATATTCTCATGATTTATTAGGCATCAAACTGGTTTAACGCACGTCTTTAAATTTTCTTCTATCAATCAGGTATTAATCTCTAAAGTTAAAGATAGATCATATAATAGGTGTCTGGAGAACAGCTGTATATTGGATATAACATGTACCTTGGCTACAACAGATTAAGGGGAAAATTTCATAATAAATAATTTGTCCACTGTTTTGCTCTATTCGCCATCCTACTTTTGTGGGAACAATACTTACGCTTAATTGATGATACATCATGCTTCCTTTCAATCTTTTTCTTATTGAAAATAATAATTATAGAGGGCATTACTAAATCTTTGACAACGTTCCCTCTGAGCTATACATTAGGTGGCGAACACCTACTAAAACAAATGCAAATGCTTATGAACAAGATATGAAATGAGGAAAAAGATCCCTATTCGCATGGAAAACCGGGATTATATGCCAAATCTATAAAAAATGGGATACACTGAAATGCGAAAATTATAACGGCATAACTCTCTCGTACAATGCAATGCAATCGTACAAAGTTTTTACTTATACACTAAATAAACGACTCCAACAACTAACTGAAAATATTGTCGGGGGATACCAAACTGGTTTCCGACAAGGAAGATCTACAACTGACCAGCTATTCACAGTGAAACAAATTCTAAACAAATCGTGGGAATACGACATTGACGTCTCCAACATATTCATATATTTCAAACAGCCCTACGACTCAAATAATAGACAAAAAGAATATTAAATATTGCAAAGCTTTAACATCCCCCCAAAAAACATCCGACTAGTAAAAGCAACAACAGGATTCGTCAACAGCAATTCGTCGAATATGTGGTAAGACAGCTGAATATAGGAAGAGGTAATCTAACAAATAAATCAATATAGACTGCCGACTATGCCGTTGACATTAGCATCACGTCCCGTAGAACAAAAGAGGCGGCAGAAATATATTCACAATTAAAAACAGAGGCAGAAGAGACCGGACTAGAAATCAATATTCAAAAGACAAAAAAACTAACACAGGCAAGAGCTAGGGGACACAGACGCATGGTTGAATTAGCGGACGATATTAAATCTGTAGAAAGTTTCACATATTTGGGAGTTACATTAAAGGGAAACAAATCTTTCTTACTTTGCACTCGCCCATGTGTCTCGTTTCAAAAACATACTGGAGATAGAAAATCAGTGACTACAAAACTATTATCATGGATGCGAGACATGGGTGATGACAGAAGACACAAAACGAAAGCTGGAACTCTTTGAAAGAAAAATCCTGAGAAAGATATTTGGACCTATTAACGAAAACGGAGTATGAAAATCTAGGTACAACCATTTATTTTTATTTATCGTATGGCAATTACAACACATTTAGAACAAAATTACAAACACTAGTAATATAGGTATATGACAAACTTTAAATAGTTATAAATAAACATAACGTTTATTAATATAATCAATTGACTCTGAAGTTGCAAACAGGAAATCTTCAGGGCTACCATTGTAGGATCTTGAGGGACACTCTTCAATAATGTGGTCACTGGTTTGGTTTTCCCCACAATCACATTGAGGAGACGGGTTTTTTTCCCATTTATGAAGCATATATGCACATCTGCCATGTCTGGTTCGGATCCTATTTAGATTGGACCATGTGTTGCGTGGAAGATCAAAACCTGGTGGTTTGTGGGTAATGCAGGGCATGTTATTTTGCCATGCGTTCCATTCTTGGGACCATGCATTCGTGAGGTTGAACTCCTCATGTATCATTCTTGCCATTTTCATTGATGGTTTTCTAGAACTGAGACGGGTATTTCGTGCATCCTTGATATCTTGGTAGATCGGCAGGTTTATATTGTTCATGATATTTTTGTATTCACACGTAAGTGGGTCAACTCGTCGTAAATGTGGAGGTGGGATGTGACTTAATATTGGAAGCCATTGGGTGGGAGTGGATTTAATTGTACCAGCTATCATCCTCATAGTGCTGTGTAGCTGAGTGTCGATCTTTTTTACGTGTGAACTGTGTAGCCAAACTGGAGCACAATATTCAGCGGTCGAGAAAACAAGGGCTAAGCCAGTAGAGCGGAGAGTGGAAGCCGATGCTCCCCAGGTGGTACCGCAGAGTTTCTGTATAATGTTATATCTTGTACTCAACTTTTGGTTAGTTTTTGTTAAATGCTCTTTAAATGATAGCGTTCTGTCTAGTGTTACGCCCAGGTACTTCGGTGTTTTGTTGTGGGTAAGTGTGGTATTTTCAAACCTTATATTGAGTTTCTTTCCGGCAAGTTTATTGTACAGGTGAAAGTAACTAACTTCTGTTTTGGATGCATATTGGTTGAAGTCGCTACTTGCGAAAATATTTGGCCAATATATATAAGTCTGCCGTCAGAACTTCTTCAGACGTTTCTAGTGTTCTGCATCGTGTAGTGAGGGCCCAGTCATCGGCGTATCCGAACTTTCTTGACTGTGTTTCCGACATATCTGCTAAGTATAAGCTAAATAGTAGTGGAGAGAGCACTGACCCCTGTGGTATGCCATTCTTAAGTTTCTTTGGTGGGCTGATATCTGTGCCCATCACTACTTGAAACATTCGGTCGTTGAGCATGCTATCTATTAGGCGTGCTATTGGTTTACGGGGGATTGCACGGATAATTTTTGTATATAAGGCCCTCTCTCTCTACACTGTATCGTAAGCTGCCGAGAGATCAATAAATGCCGCTGAAGTTTTAAGCCTTCTTTGGAAACCCGCTTCGATGTATGTGGTCCGCGATTACATGGTATGCGCAGCATCATTCTGGTCGAAAACCCGCTTGTTCGACTGGGATCACATGGAACAGTTCTATACTGATTCTATTATATATAAGCCTCCCTAATAGTTTGTAGATGGCAGAAGGAAGCGCAATTGGTCTGTAGTTCTTTAGGTTGTTGGCGGGTTTGCCTGGCTTCAGTATGGCTATTATTTTAGAGCGCTCTAGTTGTTTTGGAATATTTCCAGTTTCGAGCCATCGAGCCAGCCAAACTTTTGTATATTTACCACATGAAAAACTACGGTGCAACCATGAACTTTACCAACTGTTCAAAGAGGCACCGACCTCAGAATACGTTAAACGAGCAAGACCAACAGGAAGCCCACGGAAAAGGATAAAGGACGGAGGCAATGCTCGATTTGGGCTGTAGCGCCATTAAAGAGAGTGATTACTGAATCATCTCGGACTTATACAAGTGTAATTAATGCAATTTGTATTTACTAGTTTTTTTTTTGTTTTTCTAGTGCCGACTATGATAATTTTATTTGCGGCAACTCAAAATAACTCAGCAAAACACTTGTGTTACAATTTCTGCAAATTTCGGAGCCATCATATTCTTCTTTGGAGTAGGCTGCTTCTTCCAGCAATGTTCCCGTGTATTATCAGATTCGGGAAGGTTATACTTCCCTGGATGTCTCATCTCATACTCGTAATAAATTTCAGCTTCACTGTTTTATTTCTGTTTTCTTTTTCTTTCTTGTACAACTATTTTATTTGATAGTTTCTTTTAAGATAACTTCAGATGAATGGTTAAAAAATAGAGGCATTAAAATATATCCCGACACGTCGGATATCCACAACCAATTGGAATGCTTAAACATTGGTGCCGCTGCAATTTTTGATAGTACAAAGTTGTGGTTCACACATTTTCACTTGTTGCAAGACACATCATTTTCTCGTGATTAAACCGATCAGTCTTTTTTTATCATATGTCAATGCCATGCCGATTTTTTCTTCCTCTTCTTTTGGTGCCTATCCTCTGTGGATATTAATAACCACGTTGGTCCATACAACTTTGTTGACAGCTGCTCTAAATAGATGTATGGTATTCCTGCCCACAGTCTGATGTTCTTCAACCACGATGTCCTTCTGCGCCCTTGAGATTTTTGCTTTCTATCTTGCCTTGTAAAATTAGTTGATACTTCTCATTGCGTATCATATGCCCTAAGCATGTCATCTTTCTGATTTTCACGATGCATAATTTCCAGATCTTTATTCATACGTTGGATCACGGTGTTATTTGTAACAAGATGGATATAGGAGATTCTGAGGCGAATGAAGACAGCTCTCGCCTTTTCTATACGACACCTTATTTCCTGTGAGTGGTACCATTCCTTATTTAGGCTGCATCCAAGATATGTAATTTTGTCGACTATTTTGAAGGGTTCATTATTAGCTATGAATTGGTGCTGTATTACGTCGTTTTTACTTACTACACGAATTTTGGTCTTCTCACGGTTTAATTTTATGCCGTATATATCACAAGCTTCCACTACACGGTCTATTAATGTTTGCAGATCCTCCGCATTATTAGCAATCAAAACCGTATCGTCCGGATGTCTTAAATTGTTTATGATTTCACCATTGATTTTTATACCTTCTCTTGAACCATCA